GCATGAAAGCTTTTGAATATGACTCATCAGCTGTTTGACTGAAGAGGGATCAGAATCCCCTCTGAGATGACTGATCTCAGTCGGCACACTCAGACTCCTGGATGAGATTATTTCCTGTATGTTTTAGGCAGAAGTCTAGACTTTCAACTATGTCATTCTCTGAGTTCCCAGCTGTGCAGCAAACTGTCCAAAAACCAACCAAGAAGCGTATTTCTACAAGCAAGACACTGCTTTAGTTTCTTGTTTGCGAGACAGAGATCCGCTGCTCCCTATACTGCCTCCCTGCAGCCCAGAGGAGCAGTCAGCTGCATCGCTGAAACAGGCCACTGAGCAGCACGATTACTGCTCCCATAGCTCTTCCACTACATTTGAGCCTCCAGAACTTAACTGCAGCTATTTTAAATCACAGTTGACTTTGCTGTTAACCAGAGCCTGCACTCTGTAACTATAAAGCAATGATTTGAACTCATTTGATGTACAGAGAAGAAAAAAATAATGATGTGAATTCTTTTATATAAATTTGTCCTTTTTTCCCACCGGTTTAGAAGCTCTGAAAATGTTTGTCATCTCTGAAAACAACTCCAAAAACCACCTGAACTACGTGTTTAGTGATTGAAAGACACACAGTCCTCAAAGGGATTAGGTAATTCAGGAATTCAAAGTCTGATTGGGAGGAGGTGCCCTTCAAAAAGGTAACACAAGCTGCACGTTGTTGTTTAGTTTGACTTAAGGTTCCTAGAATCAATATCTTTCTTGTTCTTAAATCCGCTTATACAGACATACAAAACCTAACAGAGAAATGTCACTGTGTTAGTCTGCTCATGGTACTAAAATAAACATACTATGACTTGTATTGTTCTCCTTAATTAGTGACTAGTAATTAGTTGCCTATTAGTGAAGTAGGAGTAAAACAATCTGAAAACATACTTTGATTAATATAAATAACTTAGATTTAAATAGTGAAACTCGTATGTTGTATAGACTCAATAAACATATGTAGTATTTAAAGGATTTATCTATTTATAAGAATTTCATGATTGTGGCTAACTGCAAAGGAGCAGTGTTTCCCAACCTTTTTTGACTTGTGTACCCCTTTGTTCATTTTGTCTTACCATTAGTACCCCTCTCAGTCAAAAGTATTGCTGATTTTCCAAAAGTGGAACGTAAAATAAATAATATAAATAAAAACTATTTTACTTAATCTTTTAATTTGAGCATTTAATTCTTAGGCATTTTATGTTTTACATCTCTAATAAAAAAAAACAACATAAATATGTTGCCTAGAAGATGGTAAGGAATCAAAATAAATGCAAAATAAAATCATAATATACACCTGTATTTATAAAACCGAGTAACTCCCTTATAATCACATGTAAACTGCATGAATTGGAAACAAAATACAGAACAGAAATTATAACCAGACTGACTTAATTAGTTTTATTTGTTTTCTTCAGGACACCTGAGCTGCTTTGATGAGCTTTGATAGCTCAGCGTGAAAACCAGCTGATCACAGGCTGTTCTCGACATCCAGGATGTTCCTCTGCTTGGTTTTGATGTGTCAAAGCAGTAGGTGAACTTAAAGAAAAATATATTTTTTGGTTGATAAAAGCTTGTTTGATTTTTCAACTTCTCACAAAGCAAAACAGATCGCAGTCCTATTTTATTTTACTGCCTAAGAAATAAAATATTTCCATGTACCCCTTGCACGGACCATTAGGGTTGCATCGGGTGGAAATAACTGTTGTATAGGACCAATAAAAACATCACTTTCAAAACAGAAATGTCTTTCTATGGCCAGTCATAGTCCACACTCTCAGAGCATAGGTGCCTGACTTGACTATTGTCCAGCAGAGTTACTGACTTGCTATCCAAGGAGGCTAAATCGCACAGGACCTTTGCATTGCAGAACAAACAGGCTGTAAATCTGCTGTATCAAAGGATATTAACAGAAAGTTAACTGGAACAAAAAAGGTATGTTAGGAAATGAATCATAAGTAAGGAATAACCACTGCCATGTCAAACCATCCCTGATCCAGATATAACCACATGTGTTCTACCTGGGCTAAGGAGAAAGAGAATGACAGATTTTTGTCCCCCAGGTCTGAAATGCTCTTTGCAGATATAAAAAAAACATTTTATATTTCACTTAGAAGTCAAGTTCATACATTTTGGAGAAATAGTGGTTCAGCACAGAGCCAGACTTTAATCAAATCCAAAGTCATCTACCAGGAAATATTACAGCAATTTTTCCCACCTTTGACGACAGCTTTATGGACGCTTTCATAGAGAAGCTGGTTTAATTTTCCAGCCAGACCTGGCACTTGCCCACATGGCCAAAAGCACTAATACCAACATTATTTATTGTGGAATCACTAAATACTGGCCTGCAAACCACCTTGACCTACAGTTTACCACAAAGAGAATCTATGTGGCTTCTCAAAAAGAGTAGAAGAGACACAAAACCCAACAATTCAGATTAGAGGAAGTCTGTTGTCAAAGCAACCTAGGCTACGTCATTAGGATCACAGACTGATGCCTCCATATCATGCCTCATTGATGCAGCAGGGTGATAACCTATAATTTCCTGAGAAACTGAGGATTTAGGTTATTATTTCTAAGTTATAAGCATACAGGGTTCAAGGTCTGTAATAATGAACTTAAATTAATATAAAACTAATGATATTTTAAGTCACTGAGCTCCCTGCAATTGTATCCTAAAATTATCCAACTAGATAATCTTTAAATCATGGAGTCAACTATTTTATGCTTAATTGTTTACAGATGCTTTAATGGTCAAAAGGGCAGAAAAGTGCATGTACTTCCTGAGGAGGATGAGGAGAGCCCATCTCCCCCCACCCATCCTTACCACCTCCTCAAAAGCACCATAGAGAGATATCTGACCAGCTGTGTGGTCTAGAAGCTGCAACGCCTCAGACTGAAAGAAGGTGAGGAGACTAGTGAGAACAGTAGAGAAGATCATCGGGGCTCCTTTTCGCTCCATTAAAGACATTTTATCCCAGCGCTGTGTGTCCCAAGCCCGTAATATCATAAATGACCCCTCACACCCCCACCATAGACTGTTCCCCCTGGTGCCCTCTACTAAGAGGCTTCACAGTATTCGATGCAGGTCCAGCAGATTCCAAAAAAAGCTTCTTCCTCACTGCCATTAGACCGCTGAATGTTGAATAAAATGGGGGTGGGGGAAACCTAATTATATACCAGTCTTATGTTAACATTAGATCACCATGTTTACATGTTGTCACTGCTGCATTTTAGAAATGGAAATATCTTGAGAGCTGTACTGAACGAACTTTGTATATACTCTTTTTTTTAATAAACTATATTTACAAATACAAAATATACAATTGCAAACAGTCGTATGCTTGAGGTGCTGGGATATCAAATCAACATGATTAAACCATAATTAAACAGTTTACTATTCTCATTAAACAATTGTTTTACAAATATAATATCATTACCCACCCAGATCTTAAGAAATGGGGATTTATACTTGAAACATATATTTTGCTTATTCCAAATAAAACAGTTATGAGGGGAAAAGTTATGCTTATAAACTAATGTCCAGGATAAAAGTAGTTGTTTGTGAAAACTAGATAATTTAACAGGGAGCTTTTCTATTTTGTTACATCTTAATAAAAAGTCTAGGCCACCCAAGGATTTAAAGACTTGTGTAGGAATCCAATGCCACATTAAATTAGGAGTTTTCAAACAGGGGCGTAGCTAGATGGGGAGCCAGCGGTGGCCATGGCCACGCTTAGCCAATCATTGGCCACCCTTGTGGCCACCCCTACCATTTATCTCCCTCTAATACAGACGGTGGCAGCAGTAATGTTAACTAATTAAACATTTTAATTTTTCATATATTAATAGTGGGCTGATCAGTGGAACGGTGGGTAGCACTGGTGCCTTGCAGAACAGAAGGTTCTGGGTTCAATTCCCGGCCCGGGGTTTGCATGCTCTCCCTGAACATGTGTGGGTTCTCTCCGGGTACTTCCTCACACAGTCCAAAAACATGACTACTGAGTTAATTAGGTGTGAGTGTGAATGGTTGTTTGTCCTGTTTGTTTCTGTGTTGAACTGCAATGGACTGGTGACCTGTCAGGGTGTACCCTGCCTCTCTCCCGTTGACAGCTGGAGATCTACGTAGAGATAGGCACCAGCACCCCTTGCAACCCCACTTTGGATAAGTGTGTAAGAAAATTGATGGATGATATATTAATAGTTACTTGACACCTAAAACGCTGTGGTTAATTATGCAAATCTAAATACTATCATTATGGTTTATATGTACAGAATCCATGCTCTTTTAAGACCCTGATTTTGTGTTATATGGGTTAAAGAGAAAATGATGTCACTCTGCAAGTCATCAAGGAGTTTTCAGTGAAATTGTAGATAAATAAAATGGAAAAGATGCTTGCCCCAGACATTTTGTCAACTATACCTTTTTTTTAGACAGCATGGATGTTTAAATATATGCATCTATTTGTAAATAAAAGGAAAATAGCAGGACTGTATAGTTTGTCTTTATTTAGGAAATATCCATATTTGTTTTGCTCGTTTCTGTTGGAACACATGGACCCTTAGGTTCTGGCACCTTTCCGCTTTTGGCCAACCCTCAGTTTACATCGGTTTTTGACTGGCCACCCCTATTAAAACTTTCTGGCTACGCCTCTGTTTTCAAATATATTTGAATCCATCTAACTTTGAATGTAGAATGTAGGTTATTAATGTCCAGGATGGTTTTGTATACACTCTGTGTACAAAATGACCATAAAGTTTGTCTAAGTCTCTAAGTTTAATGATTAACTGTTTTATCTCTCTCAGTCTATGTTACCCCGCACCTCATAAATTAGTACCGAAAGAAGGCAGTTGTCACTGATCTTATTTCAGAGTGACTTTCTCAAGGGTTGGCATGAGGTAGAGCGTTGGAAGAATTCACATTGTGTCCGTCAGATGGCGCTGAAGGGGCCCCTCGGCCCCTCGGAGGAAGCTGAATGGGATCCCAGTGATCGGGCTCAGAAGCGGGAGGGGAGGACGGCACACAAGTTCTGGAGGAGGTCTGAGCCAGAAGCAGTCCGCTGCCCGACTTTCATCGACATTCCTGCCTATGTTCCGCCCGTAGAGCTGAACCAAACGTTTTTGGTGCGTAATTACGCACGGGTACGACGGGATCCGCGCTGTTCCTGGCCGTGGAAACCCCACGGACAAAGGACGTCAGGCAGGCACACAGGCTGGAGTACAACTGCCTGACTTCAGAGGAGAGAAGTACCGTTTGGGGGGAAACGACGGGAATCTGAAGTCGGAAGTGATTTGTGATTTCACTCTTTAGAAATGTAACATAAGAAAAGGATTTCAGGAAGAAAGTCAGGCTTTTCTGGAGAGGGGAAAGCGGGCCAGACAGACTTCTGAAAGGAATAAAATCAGCATCCAGATCATCTGAGTATGGGGTGAGTATAGAGATCTAAAAGCAAAATAGTAAATGTCTGAAAGTGAACTTTGTGGCGGGTCTGTTTTTGTTTTTTTCTCCCTCTATGGATATGTAGATAATTTATCCAGATTAACTGCTGCATTTTGGAGTAATTCTAATCAGTCCACATGTGACACTGCTTTTTTTCTTTGTTTATACAATAAAAGACATCTCAGAGAGGGGGATCCTTTATGCACAGCCTGACCTAGTTTCCTCACACGTCTGTTTAAACCTTAATGACAGTTGTGACCGCAAGAAGGTCACAATTTAATTAATTAACTGCCTTTGCAATCGCTCCCAGGCAGCGTCTTCAGCTCTACCTGGGACGGTGATTTTGATTAAATTTATAACCAGAGGCCAGTTAAACACACTGAAAATAAATTGCATTTTCTTGCTTTTCATTTTGCATCATCTTCACAGATGCACAGATTCACTGAGATGCTGCTGGCAGTTTTGATCTTATTCCATCTGAGGTCTGTGAAGGGGATCCTGGTTGGGCTTTTGCTTTGGAAATCACCCAGTGACGCTTTGCCCTGCCTCCTTAACTCTGCATGAATTTTTTAGCTGCATGCGTTTTATATGTTGACCTCCAGAGTGGGAGTCTCCAGAAAAGGACTCCAATTACTCCTCCAATAAGTTTTTTTCTGTTGGTTTTGCATGGATACCTGTTTTCTCTCTTATTTCTAGAAATGAAAATCATTTTTTTCCAAATTTTCTTAGGGATTTATTAGATGTCTTTAAAATAAATAGATTTTCTTTTTTTTTTTTTTTTTTTTACAAAAATGAACATATATATTTTGATAATGACAGAAAAACGGGTTAATTTCTTCTTCTGCACGTTCTAATTGCTCCTGAAAATAAGCAAAAAAGCTAATATTTTGTAGTTTTTGGATAAACTAAAAACACTGTCAAAATATTTATAGCAAAATAGACGTGTAGAATTTTCCAGATTATTGAAGAGAAGCATCCATACCTATAAAATCCATCCTAACAGATCTCCCTTGCAACAGGACTCTTTATAGCTCACTGGTGTTTTCCTTTTTGTTTTTTTGCACACTTGGAAAAGCCAGACACACTGAATACTGTATGCAGTTTTTCTATGAGAAGAATAAAAAGTTTTTTTAGGTCCATAAAGTTTGCCAGAACACTATTTTTCAGAATTTTAGTAGGAACTGAACTTTTTCATTGCTTTTATTTCTGTTATGCTTCTATATTAGCCAACAAAATAAATCAATGCACACAACTCTAAAAGAGACAAATGTAATCCCTTGTTAAATGAAATCTATAGTGAATTATGGAATTCTGGATATTTGGAGGTTGATGGTTAGGCCTGTGTTTATTTTATAGTAAATTCTGTTTTTTTTTAATTGATTTATTTATCATCATTGTGAAATTGTATTTTAATGCTTATTAAAAGCATTATTACTTAATGCTTTGGTCACTTTACTGTGTTTAATACGACTGCATAAATAAAGATTGATTGATGGATTGATTGAATGATAGAAAAATAGGTATGGCAGCCACCAACTTAATAATAGAGAAAAAAGGGCTCTTGTTCACTGTTAAGTGATGTTAATTCATATATTGCAACTAACAAGTTCTAAGTTGCCTTTCTATTATGAGTGATTGATGACAGTTTAAACGGGGACAGGTGTTGTTAAAAGGGAAGGTAGTTGGCGTGACACACAGCTCTGCAGCCACACTGGTTTTAACTAAGTTAGAAAACCAACTAACTGTGCAGTAGAATCCTGGCATCATAGTTATTGAGGTTCGCATATCTTTCTCTCTCTGTGTGATGTAGAGTAGATTTTATGTTAACCCATGGGCTGAGTATATTCAGATTTCAAACATTGAAATTAATCAGTTCTCAGGATTTAGAATCTGTCAATCTGATCTGATTCATTTCGGTCCGATCTCAAATTGGATCACTGGTCTTATATTTTTCATGACTGTGTATTTATGCAACATATTGATTATTATTAATATTCTAAAGCCAACTAATAAAGTAGTGGTAGTTAATGCTGGCTGTAAGCACAATTTTGAAACCATTGTTTTAAGAGTCAATCTTTGGTTTCATGAATGGCTCTTTGGAAATAAATATTAGAATTGATTCAGAACTGGAATTTTTTTTTTTTTTTTTTACAGATTCCAGTTATCGTTGACAGTTCTGCAAGCAATACATTCAAAAGCCAATATCTTCCAGACGCAATTAAACCAATAAATAAATTTAAAAAATCACAGATTTCTAAGTGATTCTCTGTTTATACCGTAATTAAAGATTTTTTTGCCTGACTTTATTTTAGGTGATAATTAAGGTCTCAAGTGGTGGGCAAAATGGGAAAAGCTAACATTTTTTAATAAAATCAAAATTAGGAGAATTTTTCTATGTAGCTGAAGAGGAAAATAAAAATATACTTGTTTTATATATAGTTGGTAAAAATAGAACAAAAAACAACAACAACAAAACACTGAAAATACTGAGATTTTGACACATTCACAACTTTTGTCAAGTATAATTGACATTTGATAACTTGGAGTTTGGTCTGACTGAAAAAAATCTATATTTAACCTTCCCCCAGCTAAAATGCTTTCACCATATCTAAAACCTAAGGATAACAAAAGGAGTCATAGATTAATCTTAATTCATCTTTAAATATTTTGGTATTTTAGTGATGGTTATTTAAGGATAACAAAGAAAAAACGTTTATGCATTGTATGCATCAAAGTCATATTTGTGCAAAGTCTTTTGATTCTTTGAAACATCTGTACAAAATAGATTTCATACACAGGAATAACACTGAAAATACTACAGCTTAGTACTAAGTACACCTCAATATCAGTGTGCCACACCAAGTGCAAGTGCAGGCATCACATCAACACAGTAGCCCTGATCCTGTGGTCCAGTACCAATAAAAACCCCTCTGGACTCTTATCAGCTCAAATAATAACAGCATTGATCTACATAGCAGAAGGAAAATTTTTTAATGCTTAACATCCAATCTGATGGCCCCCATTTGCTTTTACTGAGTTTTAACTCTGTATTTTTATCTGGATAGGTCCTCTAGTCCTGGTGAAAGCGAGATTCTGTGGAAATGCTTCCTTTAATTTCTGAGCCGGTACCCTGCTGTCAGCCTGCAGCTCTCCTTAAAACTCAACACAAAGAGGAAGTCCTTGAGTTAGAAGGGCTCCAGTTTCATAAACAAAGTGGGATTTATCTGCCAAGATGCTTTAATGCTCTGAGCAGATTTCCACACAGTTCTTATTAAAGATGCACACAACATCATTTTGCTGCAGATTTGAGTTTTCTGTAAAGTTTTCTGTGGCCGACTCCCAAATTTTAGATTCTGATTTTTATAATAAAGATTTAGAAACTGCAATGATAACAGAGACGTTAGCAAGTAAACACAAAGGATTACGCACAGTAAAGCTGGTTTCATCCTGATGCTTTTGTGAAACTGTAAGATTTACAAAAAGACCTCACCAATTCCATATGACAAAAAAGGCTAAAAAAAAAAGAACAGAACCATTTTGAAGTACTCCATTTAACTTTCCTATTATCTGCTGAATTCTCTCTCACTCTCTGACAGCCTGGATCGGCTGGAGGCTTGTCTTGACTTGCTGTGGTAGAACAATTTAAAGTGAGGAAAATAAGTATTTCAATACACTGCTATTTTGAGTGTTCTCCCCGTTAGCATGGAGAGGTCTGAAATTGTTGTCGTAGGTTCATGTCCACCATGAGAGACATAATCTAAAAAAAAAAAAAACTAGAAATCACAATGTATGCATTTTTTAACCATTTAATTGTATTATACGGCTGCAACACCTTTGAAAAGCAATGTTAAAATTTGGTACATGCTCTTACTGCGAGAAGGAAGTTGTTCCCCCAAATCTCACAATACATGGTACCGAGCTATTGGAGGTTTACAATTTCGTCTCAAGTGTCTTTGGACAGCTCTTTGGTCTTGGCCATGTTAGTGGTTGGATTCTTACTGATTGAATGGGAGACAGGTGTCTCCATGCAGTTAACAACCTCAAACAGGTGCATCTAATTTGGGATAATAAATGGAGTGGAGGTGGACATTTTGAAGGCAGACTAACAGGTCTTTCAGGGTCATATTTCTAGCTGATAGTCTGGCGTTCAAATACTTATTTACAGCTTTATCATACAAATAAATAGTTAAAAAAATATAATACTAATTATAAATTGTGAATTCTGGATTTTCTTTTAGATTATGTCTCTAACAGTGGTCATGCACCTACGATGACAATTTCTGACCCCTCCATGATTACTAAGTGGGAGAACTTGCAAAATAGCAGGGTGTTCAAAAACATATTTCTCACTGTATAAGAAAGTGAATGACATCATCACCTATTTGGTATAGCTGCCATTAAAGTTGTTATTTTTGGTGCCATAGGAAAGAGGAATCACACCCAGGGATGAACATGTTTCCTGTCCAACACTGTTACTCTCGTCCATCTGCACCTCACAGATATGCCTTGGCATATTGAGAAAATAGTGTTATTTTGCTCTTTTCACCTCTGTGTATCTTTTCATCTTTAACACCTAAGGGATACAGAGAATATCATTTAGTCACTCAGAAACATGCAGTTCCACACTCTGGAGCAGGTAACTTCAAATCCAGTCCTCCAGGTCTGTTCTCCTGCACCTTTTATACGTGTCCCTGCTTCAACACAAAATCAAATAAGATAAAATCAGTTCACGAGCTGAACTCTGGAGGACTTCTTCTTCTTCTTCTTCTTATGGGGTTTTATGGCGGTTGGCAGGCTTGTGAATTGTGCATTACCGCCACCAACTGATATGGAGTAAAGCAAGAAAACAGAAAACGATTCACCCAAAAAAAAAAAAAAAAAAAAAAAAAAAAAAAAAAAAAAAAAAAAAAAAAAAAAAAACCTGTGTAACTTAAACCAACATAATACTAAATCACATTTGCCCATATAATTTTAATTTACTCTAGGTCATCTTAACTCTGCCAGTTTCTGATGGTCCCATCGGTCCTCCCATCATACTTCCAACCATCTCCCAGTTCAAATCTTTAATGTCCAGGTATTTTTCTGCAGCCTTCACTATTATTTTGATTTTTTCCGTTTTTTTTGTTGTCTGTGCAGTACAATTAATTACTTCTACCATGAAAAGAACAAAATTTGTCTTTTTAACAATAAGTGAGTCTTCATCAATTTTTTGATTCTCTAGAGGTTTGGAATTTGCCGTGTGTTGAACTGTAGGTTTGGGTTTTTCTGACTGAGATGGGATCCTTTTTGCAGCTTCAGCGTAGGTTATTCCGAGCTCAAATTTCATTTTTTTAATTTCCTCAGACCTTTTGCTTGCTTCACAGCCGCGATAGGCAGCAGTATGTTCTCCACCACAATTACAGCATTTTATTATAGCTTCTTTTCCACATTTTCCGTACTCATGTTCTCCTGCACACCTTCCACACCTCTGTTTCCCTTTACAAACTGCTGCAATGTGACCGAATTTTTGGCATTTGAAACATCTCAATGGTGGAGGATTGTAGATTTTGACATTATAGCTTATGTAACCGATGAATACTTTGCTTGGTAATTGCTCTTCCTCAAATTTAATTAGCACTGATAAACTGTCAGATCTTTCTCCGTTTCTTGTTGTTTTTAACCGTTTTACTTCTTTTACTTTTGCACCGCTTATGTTTTCCAGAATCTCTTTTTCAGAAATTTTTAGAGGAACTCCTCCAATGACTCCCCTGCTGATCTTTTTGTTCTCCATTAGGCTGCACTGAACTCTTATCCCGTCAATTTTGTTGATCCGTATTGCTTTGCCTTGCTGGGCGCTGTCTCTGCAGTTAATTAGCAGGTCTCCACTGTACAGAATTCTGGCACCTCTGACTTCTCCGACAAGTTTATTGATGGTTTTTGTTAAGTGAACCGGATTCCAATTTGTAAAAGAGTCTGCCTGATTAACGACTTTGATCTGGAGGACTTCACTGCATACTGAGGAGGTAATTCAGCCTTTTGATTCAGGTGTGTGGAAGAAGAGATGCATCTAAAATGTGGAGGACACCAGACCAGGAGGACTGGATTTAAAGACCCCCATCCTAGAAAGTTGTTGTCACTGTTCAATCTTAGTCTTTTGTGTTCAGTTGTCAGATAAATATTAGATGCCTTTCAAATTGAAGGGACTGATCTATAGTTCTTATGTTGGTCCGCTCCAGCTGCTGCATTTAGATTTAGGAATCACTGGTGCAGTTTTTAAGACTGTGTTCTTATAGCAAGAGAATGCTGGTTGGTTCCTGGAGTCCTACTTTATGGAGTTTGCTGCTGCATGCGTGGATTCTCTCCGTGTACTCCTGCTTCCTCCCATAGTCCAAAAACATGACCACTAGGTTCATTGGTTACTTTAAATTGCCCTTAGGATTGTGTGTGTGGGTGTGTGCATATGTTTGCATATGGATGTGTGTCTCTTTTTTTTTTTTTTTTCTGTGATGACTGGTGCCCTGTCCAGGATGTCCCTGCCTTTCCCCTATAGACTGCTGGAGATCAGCCCCATGGCCCTGATGTCTAAGCAGGAGAAGATAACTGTATGGTTTAGTGCAACTGACTTTTTTATTATGAATGATTTGGCTAAAGATATATGATAGACCGATATTATTATTTTGTATGAGGTCAAAGAGGTGTACCTAAATGCCATTGGATACATTTGCATATTTTTAAACTTAAACTGCATATCAGTGTAAGATTTGGTGGAGAGTTCGAACTGAGAACCACTACTTCAAACAGTTTGTTATGTAGAAATAATCTGTAAAAATAGCCTGAATTTTGAAGAGGAGCTTTCATTTTTATTGTCTGATCCTTTGGTATTTATTCTGATATTCTGAAAGACATCAAAGAAAAGCTATAACTGTATTCTTTCTTACCTCAAAGTTTTTTCACTTTCTAAGCCTATCTGACCTAAATCCTATTAATGCCACTTAAAAATGCGAAGCAGCTCTCTGTGGGAAAGTTAGGGACTGATGTGAAGATTTAGTGCCAGAAAACGTATAATGAGTCTAATGCTTTGCTTTGCTATACGGATTTACCATTTAACTTATTAATGTGAACTTTCTTTCTTCTGGTTGTGCTGCAGAAGTATCTGAGAGCTGTAAAATGTACCCGCGACACCGTGAGAGGTATAAACACACCATCGTGTCTGTGTCGTGGCTGTTCATGTCAGGGATGGGCATTAACCATAAACCTGTAGCATACCTTGGAAATTATGCTCTGCTTCAAGTCATGAAGTGTTAAAATCTTCTTCCTTAAAATGTGTACCAGATGTTAACGACCAAGTTGCTGATGTATAATTTATTAGGGAGTTATTATAAATTCAATATTATTAGGTTGTTCAAAAAGATGGGATCATTAAATAAGCTTTGTGTTTTATTTGGTATTTGGGGCACAACTGTTATTGAAAATGTCAACAACACCAGCTAATCTTAAGAAATATCTTTTGAGTATTAAATTTGTTGGTTTGATACTCAAATGTGCACCATCAGGTATTGCTATATTGGGAATAATACGCCCATCCCTGATTTATGAAACATTCATGAAGAGAATCCATCATCATTTCATGGCTGTAATGTTAATCCTTTTCCGAGTATCTGTGGAAACTGCATCAAAGTGTGGCTGCTATACGCTGCAGAGCCTTCATGCCTGTCGTGACGTGAAGATGTTGTCAGTACTACTCCTGCTGTCGTCGTCTGATGTCCCTTTTATCATGTTTCGTCCTTCTGTCACTGGTTTTCCACTACCACTCTATCTGCTGTTGGTTTCTTTAAGTGGATCATCAGGCCTGCTGATTATATATATATATATATATATATATATATATATATATATATATATATATATATATATATATATATATATATATATATATCTGATGTGCTGAATTTTGAAGTAGCACTTTCTTCATTTGTCTAAATGAAAACACAAGAATTCTGATATGATTTTAACCTAGGGTCTGTTACACTTTTTCCCTATATTTGCAGATTGAAAAAAAAAATATTCCAGGCCCGTAAACTCTGTCAACTATCAGGTTCAGTGATGTATGCAGTTCATTCCCCTTACAAACCAGCTGTTTAATAAAGATTTTAAAGAGCTTCTGTAAAAGCTTAAGCAAACAAACAAAGTCAATAAGAGTTTGAGGCAGTGTATAAAACACAATCCCAGGCTTCTCACCGAGGCACGGCTCAGATGGGGGAGAATTATTTAGAGAAGAATCCAAAAGACCAGTTGGAACTCTGGAGGAGGTGCAGAGATCAATAGCTCAGCTTGCAAATAGCACCAGGAAGCTCAAATACTTCACAAAGCATCTAGTAAACAGAGTGAACTTTTAAAAGTAGGTGCCTTGGTCAGATGTCCCCAAGTAAAACTAGATGCCAAAGTCTAATTGGATAAAACTCACATAAAGAGCATAGTACAACTAGCACAGTAAGAAAGCCAAGGAAGCTGTTAATAGCTGGTGTGATAATTACTGAAGCTAACTACTGATTAAATATTTCAGACATTTTGCAAAGAAGCACGTGCAGAATTGGCAGGTATATATCTGCAGCTGTAGTTGGAGCCAAAGGTGCTTTCTACAAGTTATTGACTTACAGAGACTGAATATAAATAAAATCCTTACTTTTGGGATTTTTATGAACTGAAAAGTTTAAAAGCCTCATTTTCCATCCCTTAACAATGGTGCTCTATTTTGTTCTTGTCAGTAACACAAAACCACCACCATCAAATAAGCTGAAACTAGAGATTGACAAAATGTGGGAAAGTTCAAAGGATATGATTGCTTCCACAAGGAGCTTAATATGGTTAATTTTACATCAGTTAACTTTGATTAGGCTTTTTCTACTCGATCATATAACTAAATGTTAAAACAATAAATTTCAGGAAAAAAATATACACAGGAACAGTCAAAAATTCATTAGCAATCTAGTTTTCAAGGTACTGCCGTGTCCTCAAGAGGCAGTAGAGAGCATGCAGTTGTGGTGGCAGTTCAAATGGAGATGTACTGTTCCAGGTCTTTCTGCATGGAGTTTGCATGATGGAGTTTGCATGCTCTCCCTGAGCATGTGTGGGTTCTCTCCGGGTACTCCGGCTTCCTCCCACAGTCCAAAAACATGTCTGTTAGGTTAATTGGACTCTCTAAAGTCTCATTAGGTGTCAGTGTGTGCGTGAATGGTTGTTTGTCCTGTTTGTCTCTGTGTTGCCCTGCGATGGACTGCCGACCTGTCCAGGGTGTACCCCGCCTCTCGCCCGTATACAGCAGGAGATAGGCACCAGCACCCCTTGCGACCCCACTTGAGATTAAGCGTGTCTGAAAATGGATGGATGGATTTTCCAGATAGTTTCTGGAGTCTCCGACAGTCACAACAGCTAGTGAAGAGGCTGCATTAGACAGCGTTACCCTCACATGACAGAGTTGGATGGAGGATTCCTCGAGGGGTTGCTTCAGGCCTAGTCCTTGTATTGTGCTGTTGACCTAAATGTGGAACATATAGCCGTGAAAGTGGACCTTGTCTGTTGATGATGACCTGGGCCGGCCAAGTAATATGATTAGAGGGTTGGTATTTTTGTGTGTTGAGCATTGCAGAACCACATGATGTCTGCAGCTCCCATCCACACTCTTTGGACTCTTTATATCCTTTCCCTTCTATGACTTGACTCCTGATTGAAAGAATTAGACTACAGATTTATTAACACCTCCATCAACATCAGAGCAGAAAGCTGTGATTGGATCATTGCCATGTCTGGGAGGCAAGGAGTGAAGATGAGTGGCATTGGTTCCTGTTCAAAAGGAAATGTCAGTTCTGAATCAGCACAGATTACCACCATGGTAGCATCCAGTGGTAAGGCCAAATTTAGCAATGCTGTGGAAAGACACCGCCTACCTTACTTTTGGGGAGACAAATGTGAGGACCTCAGGTCGCTTGAGAAGTGACAAAGCAGCTCTTCTTAATTGACAGCTCGTGTTATCTCGTTTTTATGGAGCTAAATTGGTCTCAATATTCACAAATACACATATGTGATTCCTACATGCACAGGACAAGCTCCACACACACACAGCATGATTCATGCATGCATACAAGATTCACACATGCATGGCACATGATTCGCCAAAGTGTTTCTGGTCCATAAACATTAAATTAAATTAAATTAAAATTAAATTAAATTACAAAGTACTAGTGGTCTTTAAACTTCACTGCATTTGTGTGCAAATTTTTAGACTCTGCTGATGTGCTTCGATACACAAATGCATTTTTTAAACGGGATGGTTTGCAACCAATCACAGAGCTCCCTAATATAAGCCAATCTCAAGAAACTACTCCTGTGGGATAACTGACCTCCATCTTCCACATCCTGTCACCACTCCGCTTCAGACCTCCTGGTTAAAGAAAAGCCATCTTGCTTCACTCCGACTTCCTTGGAGTTTGAGGAGAGCATGCGCAATATTATTATTTAATTCAAAGGAGAAAAACACGCGGTAATGAACACTTAATTTAATATGACATATTAAAACTCACCATCAGCGTCAATCACATTTTTCTGCCCAAACATATTTTTTTCGTTGTGGGTCTTTGTAATTGGAATAATCATCCAATATTGGTTTGTTCTCCACCTCCAAATTCAGCATCTCTGCATCCATGCCTGCAATAAGACGTTTGTTTTGAAGTTGATGGACTCTTGGAAGCTGTTGTGACAAGATTTGATGAAACTTTTAAGCCTCTCAGTATAAAATAAAAATTTTGATTGAGATGAGAAATTTGCTTCCTGGTATTTTGAAGTACCGATAAGCTGCATCCAATAATTTAATTAAACGGTCTTAGGTTTTGGGAATATCTAGGAATTATTCTCTAATTTGTAGTTACCGATGGTTGCCATATTTTAATTTGACAAACTGGATCTTCTTAATGTTCTTTTTCCAGTTTACTGTGATTACAATTGCGGATCTTTACGTGGCTGGTGTTCTGTCAGCTCAGCATACCCCGTCAGGCCGGCATACACTTAGTATTGCACATGCAAGCACATGATCGTTATTAGTGGTTATCAGTACCATAGAATGTCTTCAGATTGTGCCAGTAGGCTCATTAGGTTGTTATCACCATGTGAACCCTAATCCTAACCCTAAAGTCATTCCCTTCCCCCGGCGAAATAAATTAATCTATTGATGTTTAGTCTGAAAATAATTTCAGTAGTTTTTGATGTACTTAGATATAACTAAATAAAAATAAAATGATCCGCATGTCGCTCATATTAAACAAACTAAAAACAAGTCAATCTCATATCCTGTTAACTGAGTTGTAGAATCCTCTCCCTATAAATGCTTAATTCTCACATGCAATGATTGTTTTAAAACCAAATGTTTGTAACAAACCTAGTGAATGACTTTTTTTCTTGTTTTATGCACAAACTATGACAAAAACCCGACTAAATTGTGAAATAGAACATCGTGCGGAGACAGAGGAAACTCTATGTAATGCATATTACTAAGGGTATGCTGGCCTGACGCAGTATGTCGAGTTGACAGAACACTCGGACACGCGGAGCAAATAGTTATCCTTCGTGAAGTAGTTTCTTGTGATTGGCTTATATATGGAAGCGCTGTGATTGGTTGCAAACTATCCCCTGTTTAAAAAAATGCATTTGTGTCTCGAGGCATGTCAGGAGAGTCTCAAAAATTCACACACAAATGCAGTGAAATTTAAAGACCAATGGTACTTTCTAATTTAATTTATAATTGTTTATGAACCAGAAATACTTTGGCGAATCATGTGCTGTGCATGTGTGAATCTTGTATGCTTGTGTGAATCGTGCTGTGTGTGTGTGTGGAGATTGTACTTTGTGTGTATTTTTTTGTGCTTGTGTGAATCGTGCTGTTTGTGTGTGGAGCTTGTACTGTGCATTTATGAATCCCACATGTGTATTCATGAAAATTGAGATTGATTTAGCTCCATACGTTTAACCCTCCCTGATTCAACACCTGCTGCAGTTTTTTAACAAGACAACTTCTTTGCCCTGTGCTTATGCTCTGGACCATTAAATGTGTTGGAAATCTGCCTAGACATGATCCAGATCTGCTGGACCGTAAGGATGAGTCGACCTTTTCATACTCTGTTGGTGTTCAAGCGGTAAAAAA